CTAAAGAAAAAGCTGTTGGTTGAGGACTGTAATCTGTTGTAAATAGAATCGAAAATTGGCGAGAAAAATAAGGAAAGCTACTATTAGCTTTCCATAAATTTCTCTAGAGAAAAAAAAGTAAGAGAAATTTTGTAGAAATTACAAGAAAGATTTCTGATATATTCCTTAATATAATGGTTTAACCAGAGAATTACCTATTGTTTCTCAGAGTAAGATTAGAGAGAATAGTAGAGAATGAAGAAAGATAACAATTTCTGGACAATTCTCAAATGAAAGAACACAGCCTCTAAATACTAATAGGCCTGCACCAAAATGACATCAAGACATGAATACAACGGCAACCAATGCTTAAGACATATACTAATCCTATGTGGTTTCTTGGTGTCAGCATCCAATGTTAAGAAACCAAGAATTCAAGAGAGGAAGAAATTGGGAATTGGGAATGGAAATCAAGCTCTCATTAAAATGAAAATAAACTAACATTTAAGTAGACTTTACAAGATAATTTTATCTAAAACTAACTAGCTAATAATCCCAACATATTTAAATGATAACAACCTAAAAAATAGATAATTACTAAATAACTTCCTAATATTGAGAGATTTTCTCAACATTCCCTCCCTTAAATTGAAAGTTTCAAAAAACTTCAATTTAATCTGCAAATAGAATTTCTATCATCTTATTGACACTTCTGCCATGTTGCAAACACCAAGTAATTCCCTTAGTTTTGAGAATGTTGCAATTTTGAGAAGCTTGGTGAAAATATTTGCAACTTGATCTTCACTTCTGCAATAAACCAAATCAATGATTTCTTCTTCTACAAGTTACACAAAAAATGAAATTTCACATGAATATGTTTACTTCTTCCATGCAAAACTGGATTCTGTGACAACTTGATTATAGAACAATTGTCACAATAAACAAAAGTAGCTTCTTCTGGTTCTTCTTGCTTACCATGAATTTCCGCCAAAATTCTCCTTAACCAAACTGCTTGACAAGCACATGCAATTATTCTACCATGCTAGAATCAACAATCGTCCAATACTCTTTGGACCCCAAAAAATTCTCCATTGACATACTCCAATGATCATAATAATGACCATCAAAACAAGGAATCAAAGATTGCACAAAGTTATCAGACGCCATGATGATAAACACCCATGAATAGAAAGCTAACTTTTGCTTTTCTATCACACACTACCTCAAATCAAGAGGCTGCTACAAGTTAGGAAGCTCTAATACCAAATGTTAAGAAACCAAGGATTCAAGAGAGGATAAAAATGGGAATGAAAATCAAACTCTTATTAAAATGAAAATAAACTAGTCTTTAATCAGGCTTTACAAAATAACTTTATTTAAAAGGGTAAACTACATAAATAGTCACTCACCTTTATCATAACTTTCAACCTGGTCACTATCCTTTTAAGTTTGAAAATTTAGTCACCTAATTGATATAAATTGCTATTGTTTGTTACTAATAGTTAACTCACCGTTTGTTAACTAACGGTGAGTTAGTTCATTTTATTTAATCACATAGCATTAGCTAAGAAAATTATGATTACATGGTGCCTAATTATAATTTTACAAATTCAAGTTTGACAAAGAAAAAAAAAAACAAAGAAACCTTTTAGGCAGCCAAAATAAATATAAGGAAACAAACATGAATTTGGGGCTATTTACTTGGATCATGGTCTGCAAAAACATAAAGAATAAATAATTTAAGGGTCGAAACAAAAACAAAAATGTACAGTATATTCTTTTGCTCTAAATTCTAGCAAATTATTCTGCTGCCTAATTTTTTTTTCTTTTATCCAAAATAATTAATATTTTTTAATTTATAATTTATCTCATAATAATGGTCACATATTTATATTTTTCATATTATTTCTTGACTTTAATTAATTATCTATCTTATCGTAAAAAAATCTTTTTATTTTTATTTTTTAGTTAATATAGATAAAAATATAAATTATCCATAAATCCTTAATTTAAAGATAAAATAAAAAAATCATTTATCATTTTGAGATAAAGGGTTATAGATTTGCTGTTAATCACCTAGAGATCTTTTGTGCACACTTATAAAATTGTAATTCATGTAGTCAATAGTGTAACTA